TTTTTTTTTTTGGTACCAGGGATCGAACTCAGGACCTTGTGCTTTCGAGGCAGGCGTGGTACCACTGAGCTAAATCCCCAGCCCCCACTCATCATTTATTAAATATTTCATTTCCCGCTGGTTTTGTTTTTTGTTTTTGAGACAGGGTCTCACTGTGTAGCCCAGGCTGCCCTTGAGTGTCCAGAGATCCTTCTGTCTCAGCCTCTGGAGTGCTAGGATTTCAGGTGCTCATTAGCACACCTGTCTTCCTACTGATTTGAAATATCATTTTATCACATCCTACATTTCCCCGTATCCCTCTTGTGAACTCTATTCCATGGACCCATCTATTCCTGCACTGGCACAAAAATGCTTTAGTTTTCTTTTCTTTTTCTGGTGCCGGGAATTGAACTCAGGACATTGCTTGCCAGGCAGGCACAACACCATTGAGCTACATTCCCAGCTCTTTTTCTTTCTTTCTTTTTGCTGCTGGCCACTGAGCCCAGGGCTTCATATCCCCTACCACTAAGCGCACACACCCTAAATGTTTTAGTTTTATAACTTTACAATATGTTCAGTAACTGAAAGCGCTTGACCTTTTCTAATTAGTAACTGAAATTTAAAGTTATAAAAACACACTAAAGCTCACCTCCCTGACACCTCCATGTGTCTGCCACTCTCTGAGGCGCTTAAAAGACAGCCTGGCTTTCCTAAGGAGAAATTTTAAAAACTAAAATTGGCCGGGTGCAGCAGCTTACACCTGTGATCCCAGCACACTGGGAGGCTGAGGCAGGAGGATCGCAAATTCAAGCCCGGTTTGGGCAATTTAGTGACTTCGTGAGACCCTGTCTCAAAAGAAAAGAAAAAAAATAGCCGGGCGTGGGGGCTCACACCTGTCATCCCAGCACTCCGGAGGCTGAGACAGGAGGATAGGTGCAAGTTCAAGGCCAGCTTGGGCTACTAGTGAGTTCAAGGCTAGCCTGAAGTACATAGCGAGACCTTGTCTCAAATATTTTTTTAAAAAGAAATTTTTTAAATTTTTAAAAAATAATAATAAAAAGGGCTGGGGATGCAGCTCAGTGTGAAAGCCTTGGGTTAAATCCCCAGTACTGGAAAAACAAAAAGCAAGACAAATCAAAACAAGTAAAACCACTGGACACTGAAGGCAAAATACAAGCGGCTCTGCTCAGGATTGACACACGCCTAGGACGCGCAGCGGCTGCGGGAACACAGGGAACCCGCCTTCTCCGCCCCCCCCGCCCCCCCCGCCCCCAGCTTTCCGAATTCAGCCTCCCCCTTGGACCCCAGCTTCCCCGCCCACTCCGTTCCCTTCCGGGCAACGCCCGGTGTTGACGTCACATCCGGTCCTGACCGGAACTCCCCGCGGCTCCCGGAAGCGCTGTAGCTTGGGCGATGGCTGACCTGGACTCCTCGTTCCGGGGTGGACCCGAGGCCGCGGCGCCCCCACGATAGAACGGACCTGGGTCCCGAGGTGAAAAGCATCGGGCTGAACTGCGCCACAGAAGGGACCCTTGGACCCCCCGGCCCCTCCCCAGCCCTCCCCTGACCTCTTCATTGCCTTGGCGAGGCTGCCCAGGAGCCTGGTGCGTCGGTCTCCGCAGGCATGGCAGGTGGTGGCCCCGGCCCTGGGGGGGGGGGCCCTGACGTTGCCTCCTCTTCTCCGCTGCAGGGATGGAAGGGTCCAAGGCGTCCAGCAGCACCATGCAGGTGAGCTTCGTGTGCCAGCGCTGCAGCCAGCCCCTGAAACTGGACACCAGCTTCAAGATCCTGGACCGTGTCACCATCCAGGAGCTCACAGGTCAGCGACACCCGTGGAAGGGGGTGGTCAGGACGTGGCCTGGTCACCTCCCTGGGCCCCTGTGGCTCAGCGGGAACCGGAAGGAGTTCTGACAGGGTTGCTGTCTGGAGCAGCCGCCTGGGAGAAAGGCATGTGTGATAATGAGCGGGATTGGTGAGGACTCGCACACCAAGTGCGTGACATGTACTTACTTCGTTTGGTCCCCACAACATCCCCTGTGGAGAGGAACCATCATTGGGTCATTGCACAGGACGGAATCCAGGCTCAGGCGGGCCCAGTGACTTCCCAGTGATCCAGCAGCTGGTTAGTGGAGGAGTCATCTCAGAAGCCCAACAATTGAGATGAAGTCACAGACAGACAGACGCGACGGAATGGGCAGTGGGAATAAGTTGTTGGGCCTGGAGTCAGCCTGCTTCGGTTTACACCCTGGCTGATGCACCGAATGACCTTTTTGCAGCTACTTCATCTTTTTAAGCCTTGGCTTCTTTCTTGAAAATCTAAAACTACCTCTTAAGACAGTTGTAAGGATTGTTCTTTTTTGTTTGTTTTGTTGAGACAGGGTCTCAGTTTGTAGTACAGGCTGGCCTTGAACTGACTGTAGCCCAGACTTGCCTGGAACCCTTGGTGATCCTCCTGCCTCAGCCCCCTAAATGCTGGGATTATAGGTGTGTACCACCATGCCTGGCAGTTGTAAGGATTAAATATCACAAAGCATATGAAACTTGTTATTACCTGATTTTTCTGATTGGAATGAAGTCTTTATATAGATTTTTAACTTTTGTTATGGGAAATTTCAAATATACAATCAGGAAGACAGCATAATAACTTCTGCTGTATCCATCACCAGCTTCAACAATTAGCCACTTTCTCCCATTCGTTTTTTTTTTGTCAGGCCGAGTGCCACTGAGCTACATCCCCGGCCCCTCCCACTCTTTCATTATTTACACCTCTCACCTTCCATCCCCCTTTTTTCCACTGAGGTACATCTCTAGTGCTTTTTATTTTTTTATTTTTGTTTATTTTGGGGGGGACCAGGGATCAAACTTGGGACCTTGCCCCTTCGAGGCAGGCACCGGAACCACTGAGCTAAATCCCAGACTCTGCTTTTTAAATTTTTGAGACAATGTTTCACTAAATTGTCCAGAGTAGGCTCAGAATTGGAATCCTCCTGCCTCAGCCTCCCAGAGTGCTGGGATCCTTTTTGGTTGTTTTGGGCACAAACTCACTGTGTAACCTAGACTGGTCTTTTAACTCTTGATCCTCCTGACTGCTGGAATTACAGGTGTGTGCCACTACACCTGGTATCTCTTCTTAATTACTATGGTTTTCATTCTTTTTTCTTTAAGTTGTTGCATCTGTGGGGAATGATGTGATGTTTCAGTACACATACATGCTGTGCAGTGTTCAAATCAAGCTGGGCACTTTTTCTGGTGAGAACAATGAAAATCTCTCCTTGCTGTGCTGAGACACACACAGCATGTCATTGTTAGTGTCAGTCACTGTGCTGCTCAGTGGAACAGAATGGCTTTTCCTCTGACCAGAGCTGGTACCTGTCCACCCGCACTCCCACTCTGGCCTGGTCACACCACTGTACTCAACAGCCTTTGTGAGACTGACTCTCAGAGGAGTGAGCTCAGCTCAGCAGTGTTTGTCTTCCTCACCTGGCTGATTTCACCAGCGTACTGTCCCCTAGTCCCACCCACATGTCAGAAATAACAACATTTTTCATCTTTTTTTCTTCTTAAATAGGATTTCATTGTGTAGGTATTGGCTGTGCATGTTTTACAAATGGGTACACTTACATAATCCTGATCATTACAGAGTAGAAAGGTTTTTTATCCCCTAAAAGTTCTTACATGTTTCTTTCTAAGTATTCTAAGGGAAAGGTGATGTTTCATTTGTGATGGGAAATTTCAAAGTCGCCCTTACCTGTGTGTGTTTTTAGCCATTACCAGGTTAACATCCATTGCCAACATATTTCATTACGTTTCCTCTCGGCTCTGTCCATTCATCCATTCCCCCCCACCCTGAACTGTTTTGAAACAAATCCCTGACAGATACAGACTGTAAATATTTATATTATCTTTGAAAGCTAAGGACTCTTTTGAAAATAACCATGATCTCCACTATTAATACCTTTAAATTTAAACTTATAACATTTTCTGCTGGCCGCAGTGGTATATGCCTTTAATCCTAAAACTCTGGAAGGCCGAGGCAGGAGGATTAAAAGTTCAAGACCAGCTTGGGCAACTTTGTAAACTCGGCAACTTTCTGCCCAACTTTAGAAAACTGTCTGAAAATAGAAGGGTGGAGATGATCAGTGGTAGAGGACTTGTCTGGCATGTGTGAGACCTGGGTTCAATCTACAGTACTACAGAAAATAAAACAAAAAACTTGAACGTTTCCTTAACCTGGTTTAACAGGGAGAAAGGAAAAGACAATAGTTTCTTCTTTGTGTAAATGTTACTTTAAAAAAAAAAAAAAGACTAGGAGTGGTAATGAGGATATTTCAGATTTTTTTCCTATACTTCAATAAGTCCTCCTGTTTCTTGCCAAGCATGGTGGTGCACGCCTGTAATCCCAGCACTTGGGAGGCTGAGACAGGAGGATCACTGTGAGTTCAAGGCCAGCCTGCACTACAAAGTGAGACTGTGTCTCAAAAGAAAGAAAAGAAAGAAAGAAAGAAAGAAAGAAAGAAAGAAAGAGAAAGAAAGGAAGGGAGAAAACAGACTGTTTCTCACTCAGTATTTTCCTTGCTCCTAGCTCCATTACTTACCACAGCCCAGGCTAAACCAGGAGAGACCCAGGAAGAAGAGGCTAACTCGGGGGAGGTAATAAAAGTGCCCTCCCCAGTTCCCTCACGTAGTTAATATGCTGAGTGGCACTGATGTGCAGACAGGAACGCAGGCTTAGGTACATGTCACTACCTTGGGAGGGGACCACAGGAAGTGGGTGTGATGGGAAGCCAAGGGGCGTGGCTGAGCCTGGAACACCTGTGGGTGCCGAGCAGGGGTCAACACCCTGTGGGGTGGCGCTGAGTACACATGTGACACTTGTCCCACCCAGGTGACAGTGAAGTGGCTGAGGATTTCTGCAGGTGTCTAGAGAAAACACTGGTGAAGGGCCACAGGGCCTGGCAGATGCAGTCAGTAGATACCATAAGCTTTCACTCACGTATAAATTCCGCCACAGTGTTGAGACTATGCCTTGCCTATGTTGCTGTGGCAAACCTCACTGCAGTCCCATCTGCCCTTCCTTCTCCCTGCACAGTGATTAGGACATTCTCTCCCCTACCCGTGGCTGGCACGTGTTGCAAAATGCAAATTTAATCATAAATTGAGTAAACATAGTTAGGAAATTCTGTTCCCCACCAAAACATATCAAACAGGACTTGTGGCTTGTCTGTACCAAGGAGCCTTTCTTCACTGCCTAGAAAATCCCGTTTCCTCCATCTCTGTGGTTCCCCAGGGCTGTGGGATGAGTGGAGGGAAGAGCCAGGCAGCGGTGAGGCTGCCAGAGAGCAGGCGCCACCTCCATGCCTTGGAGCTCTAACGCTCTGCTCTCTTTCTCAGGAGCCATTTGTGGAAACCCGCCAGGACGGCATCTCCCGCCGGTTCATCCCCCCAGCCAGGTGCCCGCTCCTCTTCGGCTCCCCATTCCCTGCCAAAGGCCAGTAGGGTTCAGCCCAGAAGCCGAGGCTTGAGCCAGGTGGTGTAGACGAGTCATCACCCGCAGGCTGGCTCCCTGCTTTGCACAGTGGCGCGGATGGGAGCGCTGATGGGGAGCTGAGGGGTGTTGAGCGAGGTTGGCGGTTAATGAGATGGGCTCTGAGCAGTTTCAGGGTACCAGGTGCGTTCCGCTGTCTGAGCCCCTACTTCCCGTGCCACGGGGACAGCTGGCAGCAAGGAGTGGTCTTCCCTGGCGCTCCTCCCTCCCTACTGTAGACACCGCGCTTTCCCTCCTCAGTCCGCCCAGCCCTCGCGCTGAGTGCCCTGTGGAGGGTGGGGGACAGACAGTGGGGCCTTTCCTGGGAGAGGCACCCGTGGGAGGCGGGCAGGCTGAGCCCTCACGCAGCCGTGGGCTGGGGTGTCTGCAGGATGCTGTCCACAGAGAGCGCCAACAGCTTCACACTCCTTGGGGAGGCATCTGACGGCGGCACCATGGAGAACCTCAGCCGCAGGCTGAAGGCAAGTGGGCCTGGTCCGGAGCCAGCAGCAGGGCCCACAGGTGTGGGTGCCCCGGCCCTGACCATCCCACGCTTCCAGGTCACTGGGGACCTTTTTGACATCATGTCGGGCCAGACAGATGTGGACCACCCACTGTGTGAGGAGTGCACAGATACTCTCCTGGACCAGCTGGACACGCAGCTCAATGTCACCGAGAACGAGTGTCAGAACTACAAGTGAGCGCTTTGGGGCGGGGCCTCCCCACGGGGGTGCACGGAGCCCTACCTGGGGTCCCCTGGTGAGTGTACCCGCTCCGTCCCTGTCCCTGTCCATCCCGCCAGGCGCTGTTTGGAGATCCTGGAGCAAATGAATGAGGACGACAGCGAGCAGCTGCAGCGGGAGCTGAGGGAGCTCGCCCTGGAGGAGGAGCGGCTAATCCAGGAGCTGGAGGAGGTGGAAAAGAACCGACAGGTGGTGGCCGAGAACCTGGAGACGGTGCAGGCCGAGGCTGAGCGGCTGGACCAGGAGGAAGCCCAGTGAGTGCTTCCTGCCCTCCACTTCAGGCGAGGGTGGCTCCGACTGTGTGCATGTGTGTGTGTAAGCAGTAGGCAGCTGTGCCAGGCAGCGTGTGCTCTGGGTCCTGCGTGTTGTTTCCAGACCTTTTTCCTGGGGGCTCATGGGGGTCTGGGATGAAAAGTCAGTGTGATCCCATGAAAAAGGGGTGCTGGTTAAAGAGAGGCCGCTGACCTGGGCTGCAGTCTTGGCTCCCCCCAGAGGGAATGGCTCACTGGAGCCCACATTTGTTCCAGCAGGGCTCGATGCCAGGATGCTCTCGGCCTGAGAGAGCCCTGTCTTGGGGGAGATGCTGTCCCCATGGAAGGAGAGGGGATGGAGCGGGTTTTTCACCCAGTGGTGTGATGAGCTGCACTGGTGATGGTGCCTGAAGGAGGCCAGCACTGAGGAGCGAGGGTAGAGGGAGGACGCGGCTGGTTTGTGGAAGAAGCCACTCCGCTCACTTCTGAAAAAGAGCAGTAGTGCAAGAGGTTTTCTGTCCTAGTTCAGAAGAGTCCTTTTCTCCTGCACCTTTTTTCCATCTGGGCAGCTGGAACTTGAGACATTCTTGTGCCTCCCAAGCACCACAGCTAAGGCAGACAGGTGCTCTGACCAGGGTCTGTGCGGACAGGAAGTGCTGCACCCAGAGGTAGCTGTGGTCAGAGAGTGAATGAGTGTGAGAAACTGGCCCCAAACTCACAGCCTGCACTGGCTGGGCTGTCCCAGGTACCAGCGGGAATACAGCGAATTCAAACGGCAACAGCTGGAGCTGGATGATGAGCTGAAGAGTGTAGAGAACCAGATGCGCTATGCACAGATGCAGCTGGACAAGCTGAAGAAGACCAACGTCTTCAATGCCACCTTCCACATCTGGTAACGGGCGAAGGGAGGCGTGGTGTCCCCAGGGACACTGCAGACCCGGACCCTAGCTGCTGACCTGAACTAGGTGCCCACCTCCCCCAAAAGTGGGATAGCAGGTCACCTTCCCCCCCCGCCATGTGCCTGCTGTTGCTTGTGACGGGGTAGGCACAGTCAGCTGGAACCGCAGGGCCACAGTGAGCCTGTGCTCACTTATTCCACGTCCTCCCCCTTGCAAGAGTGACCGTGGCATGTCTGCGGTGTGGCAGGCACTGTGCCCGGCACCAGGAGGTCCACAAGCACCCACACAGCCACCTTCCAGCTCCTTCCTCTGTGGTGAAAGGCGGCTAGACAGCAGGCAGGTGTGATGCAGAGTGGCAGTGGCAAATCCCAGTGCCGTGGGGACACTGGCCCAGGGGAGAGGCGGTGGAAACTCCCTGGCAGAGGCCGACACTGAGGTTGAGTGGTAAGGTTACCATCTACAGAGGAGTCCAGCTGCAGAGAACATCTAGTGCAAGAAACAGGAATGGGGGCCGCAGATGTA